AAAAAAAGTTTGCAATGGACGCTAAGACAAGTCAAAGATGATGCAATTGTCTTTCCTGTAACCCGTGGCTTGATTCCCCCATCAACACAGGGGGAATCCCTCCCACAGAGCTATTGAGTTCTACCGGAGGGGGGATCCATCTCAGACGGTAGAGCACGATGATTACTGCTAGTGGCTATACCTGCTGGCAATAATCGCACAAAAAAATCCAATATGCTGGTTGTACCCAAGACGATGGATGGATCAATTTGGGTACAGTCAGCATGTCTATAGATGGATCGAATCTCAGCCAGTCCCTGTTGAACCAACCAAGATTCGATCCATCTGGATGCAGTGTAGCTGCCAAGTGATACAGGTTTCTATCCAAGCTCTATACAGGTTGGAATAAATGGCTCTATAATACTGTGCTATATTTGCCCTTTACAGCAGCAGTTCTGGGTGTGAACCTGGCCAGTGGGGTATAAAGGAATGATTTGCATGGCTCCACCCACTATCCTGGAATGATTTGCATGGATCTGCCTTCTATCCTGGAATAATCCTCTTATTTTTGGGACAAGTGATGGAATGAGACCTGTGAATACCTTCTGTTCTAAGAAGGCTTTAATGTTCCACGGGTGTCAAACCAGCGGCCCTACAGCTGTCGCCAAACTACAAGTCCCATGAGGCATTGCAAGATTGACAGTTACAAGCATGACTCCCAAAGGCAGAGGCATGATGGGACTTGTAGTTTCCCAACAGCTGGAGGGCCGCCAGTTTGACACCCTTGTGCTATGTATTGGTTCAGTGGAGGGATTTTTGGTCCCTTTAGTCCTCCCTCGTCATGACATTCTGGATCATGGTTTCTCATTTAGTTTTTTTCCTCAAATCCATTGTGCATGGCTAACTAAAACGCCATAAGTGCAGCATCCTTAACATCTGAATGACCCTGAAGCTTGGCAAGCTGATGCGTTTCGGGGGATGTACCTGATTCCTCAGAGCTCTGCTACAGGTGATAGTCCCCCGAAACGCATCAGCCTGCCAATGTGGTGGTGCATCAGAACAGGCCATGTGATTCCCCCCACTGGATCGTTATTTGGCGTATTGCAATGGTTATATATTGCCTACTTTTTGTGAGTATTGTTTTTGCTTTTTGTTTTTTATATTTTATTAAACCTTTGGTAATGTACTAGGTGTTTTCTCCCTCCTGTGTGCTTTGTCACAGTCATCTACCAGATTTTCCCATCTTAGGAGGTCTGCACTGAAAAAGTATACCAGAGGGAGTTTTTTTTTTTTTTTTTTTTTGCACTGGACTGGATGGTCTTCATACTATTGTGACTTTATGGCAGTCCTCTCAGCACTGGGAGTGTTTTGCATGTTATTGTCCTTCTAAGTTTCTTTTACATTCATATTCACTTGTATGGGGAGAAAAGTGATACTGACGTGAAAAAGGGCCCCTTATAAATATGGGTTATGGAAAAGGTCAGTCAAATGGACCTTGTGGTTTTTTTTTTTTCCTTTAGTAAATGTTTCAGAAACCACTACGGAACGGAGCTTCAAACCACTGAAAGCTGTTGTCTGGACCCTATGGGCAACTGCACATCACTGCTATTGTCCTTGCACCTTAAAGTGGTTGTAAACCTCAGACATGAAATATGAACAAAGCATATCCCTCTATAGTATGTACTTGTCTTAATCCAGAGCACTAACTTGTTTTGCTCCTCTGCTATCAGCATGAATCACTTCTGACAAGTTTTCCTGACACCAAGAGAAAAATGGAGACAAGGAAGGGAACTCCAGCGCGCTAATCTCTTTAGTGTGTAATTTTAGCTCCCTGCCTCCTTTTTTTTTTTTGAACACTCAGACAAGCTTTATAAATTCAACAATTTGAACAGATGTAGAGGATAGAAGACTGCAGATAAAGAGGTACAACTTATGTAGTCTCATCTCTGTTTATCACCTGAGGCAAGTAACTTCAATGGGTATAGGTGAGGGTTTACAACTGTTTTAAAAGATGGGAAAACCCAACATATGTGCAGCAAGAGTTAAATCCAGCTGTAGTCGCACTTATAGTCCCAGCATGCCTTGCCAGATGCTTGCCATTCCACAAGTGCTGGAAAGCCCCAGGCCGCATCCCCGTAGACTCCAGGATCTCTCAATGCTTTCCTATCCAGCTGCTGGCGTTGGGGTTTTTTAATTCTTGCCAGCTATCATTTCTCAGACTCTGCCTTCACATCCCTCCTGCTCTCATGGCACATTCTCCTTGCCTGCGATGGCATCTATTGTGAAACCTCTTACAATGGGAGAAGAAGCCAGCTATTCTTCTTGCTCAAGGACAGAATGCTGAGTGGCTTGATTCTGCTTTTCCCTAACTTTTTCCCTTTAAATGAAACCATCTGCCTGTCAAGTTGGGTAGAGCAAGCCAGCGGTTTTGGGCTGCAGTGAGGAATGCGTGACCCCACGGGACTGTTTGACGTGTGATCCAAAGCCTATTCCACATGAGGCCCAAATCCCTTCCCCCCATCCTCCTGGAAGGAGAAGAAGTAGGAGGCTTCAGAGGAGGGCTTCAGTAAACAGTGCTAACTGTAAAATGCTGTCAACAGCAACTTCGTTTTCAGAATTATCACCCCGATCCCTGGCTAGAGAATCTGCCTGTCTGTTTCCTGTTACCAGATGAAGTTGGCGCCCCATGTGTTAACAGCACGAGGGCCATGTTGTTCGTATTCCGCCTGCTGTCCATAAAACACAACTGTCAGGCAGGAGATTGTGCAATGTCTCTATGGGAATACCGCAGGTCTTCAGAATTGTACCCTTTGTCAGTGTTCTCTGGATCAGGGGCAGACTGACAACTCATGGGGCCCCCCGGGCAACAGGGGATCATGGGGCCCCTGTGTCCTTGCCCAAACTCAAAAAAGCCTATGAAAAAGGTACCAGGGGCATCTCATGGGGCCCCCTACTGACCCCGGGCCCTCGGGCAGTGCCCAAGTTTCCAAATGGTCAGTCCGCCCCTGCTCTGGATTATGGTTAAAATGCATCTAAACCCAAAAAACAAATCTGTAATATATTGCAGCTTACCAGTCCATAGATGTGGTAGCTGCATTGGTTTTCTTTTTTCATGCTGGTGATTCTGCCAGTACCACACTTCCTCTTCTAGGGAAGAGGGGCTCTCTCCTATCAACATGCTCCTTGTCAACACATTTGTATAATTGGCTCCCAGTCCTGCTTTTCCCACTTCAGTCTGAGTGCTGCTGTAAAGGGGATTGGTGTCATGCCACATTGGTCCTGGAACTGTGCAGGCACCATCCGATGGGAGTTCAATCAGCCACAACTCAAGGAACACTTAGCAACCTCTGGAAGAAACTTGGTCGAGAAGGGCTTATGTAGAGCACGGGCCTACTTGCTTGGTTGTGAACTAAATGGAATGTTCAGTAGATCCCTACAGTTACTGGTTAATCACAAAGAACCTGTAATATGTGTGGCAGACCAAGCACTAACCGCCTGTGGTCCCACTGCAAACCAGCACTGTGTCCTAAATCTAACTCACCCAGCCTGTATCTAATCCTAAATCTCCCCTTTCCCAAGCCCAATCCTAACACTAATTTCTGGAATGTTCATGAGGACCTGTCCATGTTGGGGAGGGATGGTGTAGGAAAGTGTTCAGTGAAGAAAGTGGGGTTAGTAAGTCACTAGATACTTTTTTTTCTACATTTACTTGTATGTCGCCTTTGGCTATTTAAGCTCTACCACATTTATGTCCTTCTGAGGAAAGATAAGGAACCACACAGGTTAAGTTAAAGATGCACTCCTGTCAGTAGAAACAGCCTACCAAGGATATTTAATTTTATGCATTAGGTCAACCTCTATTATTGCTGGTAACCCATTGTCCATATTCCCAACAATGAGGATAAACAGAGGAGGGAGTCATTGGTGGGATAAGGTCCTTTAGCACCCAAGGCAAAAAGGCCAATGTTTCCTCCTGTGAGCTATGAACAGCCGGTTCTGCCCTTTTTGCCCCCACCTCTAAGGAGGCCTCCCCTTTAGCCTGCCCACCAACCCAGCCTTGGTCCCAGCTTCATTTTGATGTTTACATCTCAAAACAGACCCAGATCATTCACAATTATTCACACAAACCGATCGACCACCACAGCAATCTCCTGCTAGCACTGTATGCAGGAAGAAGACTTCTGCAGCACAGAATAGCAGGCAAGAGGCTGTAGTCCTTGCAGATGTACTCTGAAAGCAATTGTGGATCTGGCTGCATCAATTAAAAATAATAGATAACTCAGATTTGGGCAAATCAAGTAGACTATTAAAATTGACCTGGGTCAAGGCTTTCCTGGGTAAGCACTGGCAGTATATCGATTGATCTTATTGGTTGCCTTATATCTTGAGTGCTTCACTAACAGTGGTCATAGCTTGTGGAAATAAGTCTTCCTAATCCCTGGCGGAACCACAGGAAAGGATGAGGAAGGAGTTTCATAAACACATGAGGAAGAATACAATGCAGCTGTAGAGACCTTACTGGCCTTGTTTCCCACCCTCGCTGAGCTGCTGCAGCCCTCTGCTTTCTGCAATCGTTCATTTTCCTTCCTGGCTTCCAATAATAGTTCCAGTCTTAGATAAGGCTCTTCAGTAGAGGCCAGGCAAAGTCCACAAGGCAGCCTGACAATAATGCCCATGGGGTGCCGCTGGAGGAGTATGGTTTGCACCAAAGGATTCTGGGAACCGGCAAAAGAATCTCCTCTGAACCCGTGTCCCTCCTGCAAAGCTGGTGGAGGTGACAAACACCTGGTGCCTCTGGCACTGAAGAGACAAAAAAGTCAGCGTTAAATGCCTGGAAATGCCGCGTAACTGAAAGGGTTAAACAAGTAATTTGGTGACATCCTCTCGTTAGTCGGTTTTAATCCTCCCCGAGCTTGTTAATCCGCAGTGGTTTAGGGTTTGTTTTTTATTTTTTAGGTGGCGGGTGAGGGGTTTAAGTCCAGTGAGCGCTCTCATCCCAGCTGTTGGTGAATGGGGAGAGATCAGAAATTGCTGAAGATTTCATGTTTCTTGTTCCAGTCCATCTGAGGGGCCCGTTTGTTGGCTCGCTTGGCCCGTGCCTTCTCCTTTGCCTCTGCTGCTGTGGGGCTGAGACGCAGACCGCTCTCTTCGAAGGGATCTTTTTTGGTCACGTCACCTGCCTTTGCACAAAGGTGGAAAGAAAAATCATTTGGTTGAATGTATTCAGCATTGTTTACATTTTAAAAACTCCAACATATACCAAAACCAGCGCTCAGATCTTCATGCTACACAGAAAACACGGAATCAGACACTCGCTGAGGTGTGGCCCTCAATAGATCGGGGAATCTTGATGTATTAAATAAGTGTGTTAAATAAACGTGTATGTGATATTTATCAACAACTATTAAATTGCGCTTAGTGTATCAAATATATTCCACAAGTATATATATTAATCAAAAAACTTCTGCCACTTTAGATATACCGTCATAAATGAATGACTAAAACAACACATAAAGTGTTATAGTGGTGCTAAATTAATAATGATGGGGTGATATAGCGAGTACAACACAATAAAATGTGAATAAATCAATAAAATGATATCAGTGAATTACTGTGAATACAAAAATTATATATAATTCAAAGTCCACAGAAATTGTTCCTCCTTCATTGGCATCCACCACGTTCTGTCTAATAATAACCAGGAGCCTCAAAGTGTCCCCCACACGGATGTGCACTCACCAATAGTTGTTGCCTCCCACTTTCGTGGTTGGCAAAAAAGGCTTCAAAGAATAATTCTCCAAATATAAGTGGATGATAACCAATGAGGTACAACCGTCATAGAGGTATAATGGTTCAAATCATATGAGTAAGCCGGAAGTGACGAAACGCGGCAGGGTATGACGGTGCAGCAACCGGCGGTGACGTTGACTGGAACCGCCGGTCGCCGCACGTGACGGCATCAGTGAACAGTAATCCGGAGGTGGTGAGAGCACCCACGGTCTTGTGTCACTCCAGGCTTATTCAGTAATATGATACTGTGTTTTTTAGTTGTTGCCTCCCACTTTTGTGGTTGGTAAAACAGGCTTCAAAGCATAATTCTCCAAATATAACAGATTATAACCAATGAGGTACAACCGTCATGGAGGTATAATGGTAAGCCTGCACCCTATGACTACGTGCATAGCACGAAACGCGCCAGAGGAGGGCTACAGCATACAGACGTCACGCGACCACTGGTGGCCATCATGAATTACTTATGGTCAGTGTCCTTTATTAATTTTATATGCACCTTTTTGTGGAATAAAGTCATCCCTTTATGCAGTATCACGCTATGTGGTGTCCTTCATTGGGCTCTCCCTGTGAGTGCCGTCATTCGCAGAGCCTATCTTAGAGGTGACCCAACGCGGTGATACACACTAAGGGACCCCAGAGAGTCTTACACAGATGTGACCAGACGCTGTCACACCTGCCTAAGGACCCAGTAACCTGGCCTGACCTGGGAACAGATGACCTGATTATACCTGATGAGACAGAATTAATCTCAAATGCGTGTTTAAAGCGCGCTCCTGGTGAGTGCGCACTTCGCTTATTAAGTCACTTCATCTGTCACCCCTGGATCAGTTACCCATACACAGTGATTGTGATCTTACAAGATCCGCACGTTTTTATATAATTTTTTGGGGACAATTTATTACCATCACCATGTGGTGAGGTATACCTTTTACTTTATATATATTTATTTATTTATTCATTTGCTTCATGATGATGATGATCATTTTGCACTTTATAATTATATTAATCTATTAATGTATTTTATCTTGCTTTAGCGCTGCACCTATTTGATTGATATAATGGTTCAAAGGTTAATGGTTAAGGATTCCATACATTCCAATGCTTATGTATCATACAAGCATGATATTCCTCTTTCCCATGATCACCATGTAAAACAAAAAGCAGAGAGGCGCTCCAATGGTGTAGTATTAAAACCAAGATCCTTTATTAATCCAAATGGACATTACTCACAAGCAAACAGTAGTAAAAAACCCAGTATCATATGGGTCTCCCCGGACCCCGCATTCACTATATCTGGTCTCCCCGGACCCTGCATTCACTATATCCGGTCTCCCCGGACCTTGCATTCACTATATCAGGTCTCCCCGGACCCTGCATTCACTATATCCGGTCTCCCCGGACCCTGCATTCACTATATCCGGTCTCCCCGGACCTTGCATTCACTATATCAGGTCTCCCCGACCTTGCATTCACTATATCCGGTCTCCCGGACCCTGCATTCACCATATCCGGTCTCCCGGACTCTGCATTCACCATATCCGGTCTCCCCGGACCCTGCATTCACCATATCCGGTCTCCCGGACTCTGCATTCACCATATCCGGTCTCCCCCGGACCCTGCATTCACCATATCCGGTCTCCCCGGACCCTGCATTCACCATATCCGTCTCCCCGGACCCTGCATTCACTATATCTGGTCTCCATGGACCCTGCATTCACTATATCCGGTCTCCCCCGACCCTGCATTCACTATATCTAGTCTCCCCGTACCCTGCATTCACTATATCTAGTCTCCCTGGACCCGGCATTCACTATATCTGGTCTCTCCGGACCCTGCATTCACTATATCCGGTCTCCCAAGACCCTGCAGTCACCATATCCGGTCTCCTCGGACCCTGCATTCACCATATCAGTTAGAGCAGTCTTGTGACTTCAGCAGAGCACTGGTTAAAGCTTGTGGGAGGAGTTTTCTTTCTGCTCTAGGAGGATGCAAAACCCCCTGACCCGCTGATTGGCCCTGTGCTGATCACATGCACTCTCCCAAGAAAAAAAGCCTCTCTAGCAATACACACGAAACTGAGCATGTGCATGTGGCTATGGGTTCAGTCTGTCTTATCTGGTGGACATCTGAACATGAGAAGGGGCAGAGAAGACAGGATCAAACAGCCTTTTTACACAATGCAGAGGATTAACCCCTTAGGTTCCACAGTGAGTATAACAAGCATGCTTTACTGCATATACAGAATTATTTTACTGTTGTGGGTTTAGTAACACTTTAAATTCAGGATCAGTGCAGCATTATTGCCACTGGAAGCTCCATAAGGTGGCAGGACAACAAGTATTTATGGGACTCATAGAAAACAGTAAAGGCCCATTGGGGAGATTTCCTCTCAATTCCTGTTCTTGTGACAGTGCTGTCACCATGACAGGAAGTAAATTCTTCAACTACACCAATAAAAACTGTCAAATGTTCTAGCCCTTCCCTAATGCTATCCAAAGCTGAAATAAAAATGTGCCTGGAGTTCCTGCTAAACTAGTAATCTAAAGTGCAGGGACACCGAGGGATAGATTTATTAAAGGCAAATAGACTTTAAACTTTGCAGGGGCAGTTGCACTCATTTTTGCCCAGTTAATGAGGCGGAGCTTCACTTTGTAATGAATACCCCATTAGATGCAAGGAAAATAAAAAACAACATTTATCCCGCACATGATTCGATGATGGAAATCAGTAGATCTTTACCACAATCGATATGCTTTGGGGAAAATTAATGCAACTGCACTTGCAAAGTGCACAGTCTTTTTGCCTTTAGTAAATCAACACCCAAAGTCTGAAAAAAAAACTGCAAACTCTGAAAAGTGTTGTCACCTTCTGCAGCAATATAGTGTAACACCAAAGAGTGGAAGACAAGGGGACGTGCATTTATTTTATAAACTTTCTTATAGATTTGCTTCGACTATGCGCTTGGATGTTTGGCTGGAGGTGACCTACCTGTGAGTCTTTGTCAGGACTTTGCAGATCACTGTGAGATGAGGAAGTCGAGGATCCTCCATTAAGCTGTAGAACATAGAAGTACATTGTAACAGTCTGCAGGCTTGTCTCATAAGGCATAGAGCGATGTACAACTGTGCAGTAACCAACAGCAATACAAACATTGTCTCTAGATCTCTGGACTACAGAACCTCTTCCCTATGTCATTTGAAAAGATGGAGAATTGTTCTGTATCCCGTCCTAGGGTGACAACACTTCTCCATACAAACAGTATGGTAAGTGCATCTTGCCACTCACGGACAAGGAGCGTGTTACTGGCAGGATCACCAGATGAAAATAAAGGAAAAGAAAACTAATACATCCACAACATCTAAAGCAGCCATTCTCAACCAGGGTTTTGTGAAACCTTAGGGTTCCTCCAGAGATTGCTAGGGGTTCCTGAGCTTTAAGGGTGCCATTCTAGCCACCAAAGTAAGGGGGAATTCCTATCAATGACCACCAAAGAAAGGGGGGCACAATCTTATCACTGGCTACCACTGTAAGGGGGGCATTGTTCCCACTGGCCACTCCTGTAAGGGGGGCATTGTTCCCACTGGCCACCACTGTAAGGGGGGAATTATTCCCACTGGCTACCCACTGTAAGGGGGGCATTGTTCCCACTGGCTACCACTGTAAGGGGGGCATTGTTCCCACTGGCCACTCCTGTAAGGGGGGCATTGTTCCCACTGGCCACCACTGTGAGGGGGGCATTGTTCCCACTGGCCACCACTGTGAGGGGGGCATTGTTCCCACTGGCCACCTGTAAGGGGGGCATTTTTCCCACTGGCCACCCCTGTAAGGGGGGCATTATTTCCCACTGGCCACCACTGTAAGGAGGGCATTATTCCCACTGGCCACCACTGTAAGGGGGGCATTGTTCCCACTGGCCACTTCTGTAAGGGAGGCATTGTTCCCACTTGCCACCCCTGTAAGGGGGGCATTGTTCCCACTGGCCACCCCTGTAAGGGGGGCATTGTTCCCACTGGCCACCCCTGTAAGGAGGGCATTGTTCCCACTGGTCACTCCTGTAAGGGAGGGCATTGTTCCCACTGGCCACCCCTGTAGGGGGACATTGTTCCCACTGGCCACCCCTGTAGGGGGTCATTGTTCCCACTGGCCACTCCTCTAAGGGGGGGCATTGTTCCCACTGGCCACCACTGTAAAGGGGGCATTGTTCCCACTGGCCACCACTGTAGGGGGGGGCATTATTACCACAAGCCACCATTGTAATGGTGACATTGTTCCAACTAGTCAGGAGTTTTAGGGGGACATTGTTCACACTGAACGCCATTGTAAGAGGGACATTCTTCCCACTGACCACCACAGTAAAGGGGCATTGTTCCCACTGGTCACTACTCTAAAGAGGAAATTGTTCCCACCAGTTATCCCTGTAAGTGGGGTATTGTTCCCACTGGCCAACACTGTAGGAAGGACATTGTTCCCACAAGCCAGCACTGTAAGGTGACATTGTTCCCATTGGTCAGGAGTTTAAGGGGGACATTCTTCCCACTGGCCACAAATATAAAGGGGGCATTGTTCCCACTGATCACCACTGTAAGGGGAACATTACCCCCACTGGTCAGGAGTTTAATTGCCATTGTAAGGGGGACATTCTTTCCACTGACCACCAAAGTAGGAAGAGCATTTTTCCCACTGATTCTCAAAAAATTGGTTATACAAGAGTTCCCTTAGACCTAAAAAATGTTTTCCAGGGTTCCTTGGAGGTACAAAAGTTAGATAATAGCTGATATAAGGACTGGTAAGCTGCAAAATATAATACATTTGTTCTTGGGTTTCCTTTCAGCCCATTATTGCTCTATATCTCACAGTGATGTCATTAGCTCACCCGGGGAAATGGCTGTTGCAGCTTTGGGTGACAGAGGTACACTTTGAATAGCTGAATTCCTGCACAGACATAGGTCGAAAATGTCCCATGTGCAAACTGTATCAACCAGTGGTAATGTTTGTAGTCATTATTTAAGGAAATGTGTCCACACTCAGTTACACCATGTAACAAGAATAGACGTTTTATTGTGGCATCCAGGAATTGTACGATCTGTTTATGGTAATAATCTGCTGTGTTTATCTCCTACAACGTGAAACTAAGCGCCAGGAAGGGGGTAAAGGAGGCTTTGTATATGAGAATCGCGGCCAGAGAAAATCACACCAAACGGCCGCTGCAACATCTCAGAGCCTCCTCTTAAAGCAGAGCTCCACCCAAAATGGGAAGTTGGGCTTTAAGGACTTGTCCCCCGCATTCACTATATAAACCCGGGCCCCTGCAATCACTATATAAACCCGGGCCCCTGCATTCACTATATAACCCCGGGCCCCTGCATTCACTATATAAACCCGGGCCCCTGCATTCACTATGCAAACTCGGGACCCTGCATTCACTATATAAACCCGGGACCCTGCATTCACTATGTAAACCCGGGCCCCTGCATTCACTATGTAAACCCGGGCCCCTGCATTCACTATATAAACCTGGGCCCCTGCATTCACTATATAAACCCGGGACCCTGCCTTCACTATATAAACTCGGGAACCTGCATTCACTATATAAACCCGGGACCCTGCATTCACTATATAAACCCGGGACCCTGCATTCACTATATAAACCCGGGCCCCTGCATTCACTATATAAACCCGGGACCCTGCAGTCACTATATAAACCCGGACCCTGCATTCACTATATAAACCCGGGACCCTGCATTCACTATATAAACCCGAGACCCTGCATTCACTATATAAACCCGGACCCTGCATTCATTATATAAACCCGGACCCTGCATTCATATATAAACCCGAGACCCTGCATTCATTATATAAACCCGGACCCTGCATTCATTATATAAACCCGGACCCTGCATTCATTATATAAACCCGGGACCCTGCATTCACTATATAAACCCAGGACCCTGCATTCACTATATAAACCCGGGACCCTGCATTCACTATATAAACCCAGGCACCCGCTCCCACGTCCGCTCTGATCGCCTAGGTGATCGGAAGCAATAGTTCTCCTCCCACCCTCTCCAAGTCTTCTGGGACTTGTGACAGGTCCTGGAAGACTGTGGGACCATTTACAATACATGGCACCACTCGTGCATGCGCAGTGGACACCCGGCTGTGAAGACGGAAAGCTGTCCCAGCTAGCTGCCCACAGGTAAGATGACGGGGACAGAGGACGGCCGGTGAACCCGGCTGGGGTGAGCACACTGCTGGATCGAGGGACAGGTCAGTGGCTATATTTTAAAATATTTTTTTAACAGGAGACTGGAGCTCCGCTTTAGGCTTGGTTCACATCTGTGTGGGTGGTGCCACTGTGGACCCACACGAAAATCCGTGCAGCCGCACCACCCGCACAGAGAAATGCGGACCTGCGGGTGGGTGCCGTTCTAATGGCACGCCGCCTGCGCTGGAAAACGCAACCGTACTGGGAACCGAGGTTCCCGTGAAGGCTGCGTTTTCATAAGAAGTGCAGGGACTTCTCTGCGTGTCACGGGGCACGGGAGTCCATTCAAATGAATGGGCTCTCATGCTCGCGCAAAACGCAGCCCGCACGGCCGCATATATGTGAATCAGGGCTTCAACTGAAAATGTAATTCCTAGAAAAAGCTTCACCTTTTATCATTGAAAGCCATCTTTATGCTCCAGTCAGCTGATTTACCCTAGACTGAAATTATGTCATTATTTAGCTGCAGGTAGTAGGAAGCATTTCCTCAGTCTCCCCTCCCCCAGTGATCAGATTGCAATATTGTAACTTTTTATCATTTCACAAGGTGAGAGGTCACAACAAGGCTTTTCTGTGTCAGACATTGGTGAACACAGACAAGAACTGCACAGGCACCAGGAATTTGTGATTGTGTCACTTCTGAGCCAGAATCCCATTCCAGGAAGTAGATGACAACCCAGAATGAAGCCTGAACAAAGATGGCTCCATCCTTCTGAAGATAATAGCAGATGGTGACATTGTCTGGGGAGAGCTGCGATCTCTATGAGAGGTAATAAATACCTGGAAATATTATTCTTACACTTTCTGTAGCATGCATCCACTTGGCGTAACGAATGATATCTAACACTAGGCCAGCTTTCATTTTCAGAGAGTTGATAGGAACAAGAGAATCCCTTCCTTCCAGCCTTGTCTGTATGGTGTCTAAAATCATATTCAGTCATTTGCTGGAAATATTGGCGAATGCAAGGCAGGCTAGATGATGCTGGACGTCCACCAGCCAGGAAATTAGGCGAGCTCTGATCTGCTGCAGCTTCTAATGCACATTGTGAGACGCTCACAGTGTGCAGTGAAATCAGAGTAAGCCATTTCAGTCCTGGAGAGGAGCCGCTACAACTGTGCAAGACAGAAGTGAAGGCTGGAGGTCAGTCTTGATATTGAAATCCCAATCTAGATGTATGTATGTGATGGAACAGAGAACAGCCGCACCCATCAGGCCTTGATGAGTCCACTGTGGGCTACTTTGGCTTTCCATGTGTGACATTTCCAAATTCAGGAAGATCTGCTGGGCGAAGTGAGTCTTTATTCCCCTACTCTAAGTGCAGGCTGTGAAGCGGCCTTCTGTCCGTCCGGCGGATTCCTCGTGGGGCTGTGCACAGGATCCACAGCCGTCTTCATTGACCAGGTACCACTACCAGGGGCGGACTGACAACTCATGGGGCCCCCGGGCAATAGGGGATTCATGGGGCCCCTGTGTCCTTTCCCAAACTCAAAAAAAGCCTATGAAAAAGGTACCAGGGGCATCTCATGGGGCCCCCTACTGACCCCGGGACCTCGGGCAGTGCCCGAGTTTCTAAATGGTCAGTCTGCCCCTGACCGCTACAGAGGCACGGGTCCAACTGGGGTCTGCTTTGCGGTTTCAACAATTAGATTTATACCTGAAGGCCTGCAGCCATCATTAGCTGTGTCAACCAAGAATTCTGCTGGATCCTGGAGCGTGCAGACAAAACCTCTAACTTCCTGGCACCTCGGTGTTAGCAATCGTTCTGCCAAGATTTACAGCAGATGATCAGCTGCTCCATGTCCAGGAATGTGAGATATTTCACGGAACTCTGCAACGGGCTTAATCAGCTAACGTGATCACTTTACTTTATTTGCTTCTAATGTCCAGCATTCACTATATAAACCCGGGACCCTGCATTCACTATATAAACCCGGGCCCCTGCATTCACTATATAAACCCGGGACCCTGCATTCACTATATAAACCCGGGACCCTGCATTCACTATATAAACCCGGGACCCTGCATTCACTATAATAACCCAGGACCCTGCATTCACTATATAAACCCGGGATCCTGCATTCACTATATAAACCCGGGACCCTGCATTCACTATAAAAACCCGGGACCCTGCATTCACTATGTAAACCCCGGACCCTGCATTCACTATGTAAACCCGGGACCCTGCATTCACTATATAAACCCGGCCCCTGCATTCACTATGTAAACCCGGACCCTGCATTCACTATAATAACCCAGACCCCTGCATTCACTATGTAAACCCCGGACCCTGCATTCACTATATAAACCCGGGCCCCTGCATTCACTATAATAAACCCAGGACCCTGCATTCACTATATAAACCCGGGACCCTGCATTCACTATATAAACCCGGGACCCTGCATTCACTATATAAACCCGGGCCCCTGCATTCACTATATAAAACCCGGGACCCTGCATTCACTATATAAACCCTGGACCCTGCATTCACTATATAAACCCGGGCCCCTGCATTCACTATATAAACCCGGGATCCTGCATTCACTATATAAACCCGGGCCCCTGCATTCACTATATAAACCCGGGCCCTGCATTCACTATATAAACCCCGGGCCCCTGCATTCACTATATAAACCCGGGACCCTGCATTCACTATATAAACCCGGGACCCTGCATTCACTATATAAACCCGGGACCCTGCATTCACTATGTAAACCCGGGCATTCACTATATAAACCCGGGCCCCTGCATTCACTATATAAACCCAGACCCTGCATTCACTATATAAACCCGGGCCCCTGCATTCACTATATAAACCCAGACCCTGCATTCACTATATAAACCCGGGCCCCTGCATTCACTATATAAACCCGGGATCCTGCATTCACTATATAAACCCGGGCCCCTGCATTCACTATATAAACCCGGGCCCCTGCATTCACTATATAAACCCGGCCCCTGCATTCACTATATAAAACCCGGGCCCCTGCATTCACTATATAAACCCGGTACCCTGCATTCACTATATCTGCTCTCCCACACAGTACACACAACATGGAAATGCAATTATTTTAGTAAATATAAACTGCTAAATACCTTTTCTCATCAGCAGTATATAGCAGTCTTGTGACTTCTATCAGTGTCCAGCAGAGCACTGGTTAAAGCTTGTAGGAGGAGTTTTACATTTTTATCTACAAGGATGCAGAACCCCTGACCTCTGGACAGTGCTGACTGGCCCTGTGCTGATCACATGCACTCTCAAGAAAAAAAAAACCCTCTTTAGCAATACACACCAAACTGAGCATGTGCAGCTTGCCCCCAAGGCTCCATCGTTGGTGTTAGTGGAAGGAATAGTGCCCCATCATTGGTGTCAGTGGGAGAAATAGTGCATCATCATTGGTATTGGAAGGAGTAATAGCGTCCCATCATTGGTGTCAGTGGGAGGAATAGTGCCCCATCATTGGTGTCAGTGGGAGGAATAGTGCCCCATCATTGGTATCAGTGGGAGGAATAGTGCCCCATCATTGGTGTCAGTAGGAGGAATAGTTCACTATCATTGGTGTCAGTAGGAGGAATAGCGCCCTATCACTGGTGTCCTATCATTGGTGTTAGTAGGAGGAATAGCGCCCTATCACTGGTGTCAGTGGGAGGAACAGTGTCCCATCATTGGTGTCAGTGCAGGAATTATGCCCCACTGTTGCTGACAGTGGGTGGGAATAATTAGTCAAGGACCAAATAAAAGCATTCAAATGGCTGCATCTGGACCCCGGGCCACAGTTTGGAGACCACAGATCTAAACTGTAGTTCCTGGGCAGTTCTTGGCTGTGTACACAAATATTTGCCACAGGTCACCCTCCTTGCTACAAAGCTATACTGTACAATGTGATCCCTACAAAGCTATACTGTACAATGTGATCCCTACAAAGCTATACTGTACAATCTCATCCCTCCCAAAATCTATACTGTACAATGTGATCCCTACAAATCTATACTGTACAATCTGATCCCTACAAAGCTATACTGTACAATGTGATCCCTACAAATCTATACTGTACAATCTGATCCCTACAAAGCTATACTGTACAATGTGATCCCTACAAATCTATACTGTACAATGTGATCCCTACAAAGCTATACTGTACAATGTCATCCCTACAAAGCTATACTGTACAATGTGATCCCTACAAAGCTATACTGTACAATCTCATCCCTACAAATCTATACTGTACAATCTGATCCCTACAAAGCTATACTGTACAATGTGATCCCTACAAATCTATACTGTACAATGTGATCCCTACAAAGCTATACTGTACAATCTCATCCCTACAAAGCTATACTGTACAATGTGATCCCTACAAAGCTATACTGTACAATCTCATCCCTACAAATCTATACTGTACAATGTGATCCCTACAAAGCTATACTGTACAATCTGATCCCTACAAATCTATACTGTACAATGTCATCCCTACAAAGCTATACTGTACAATGTGATCCCTACAAAGCTATACTGTACAATATGATCCCTACAAAGCTATACTGTACAATGTGATCCCTACAAAGCTATACTGTACAATCTCATCTCTATGGGGGGAAATGCTTCATCATGTTGCAATCTAACTGTACAATCTCCATTAGGCCTACAAACTATAAAGTATAAGCAAGGGCCTGATTGGATACAAATTCAATTGTTTAGTTTGTGTTCTAAGTGTTTTGGTAAATCTAACGGGGATTGTACAATCAGATTGTAACCCGTATGGTAAGCCTAAGATACAAGTGTAGTCTGTTTCAGTTTACCATGTTACAATATTACACTTTGGAACCAAATGACTTCTTTTATAAAGACTCACTTCTTTGCTTTCCTTATGACACCGTGCACTAACCTGTGTCTTGGTCACTCCATTGGTCAGTGGCTGGGGAATGGAACCTAAAAAGAAAAATATACAATATGTATCATATTGGAGGTATTATGGTAATTAATGCAAGGAAATGTTTTCTGGCTACAAGGTTTACTGACGACCCATACTGCAGAAGTATGGGCCTTCCATTGCTGTCCTCTCAGTCTGATAAATCAGTTCCCTGATTGTCATGCTGATCCAGTGGCTTCAGTGATTTCTTTGTCTTCGAGCCTTATAAAAGGTATGGAGCTCTGACTGCACCCCAACTTTTTTGATCTGTGTGCTTGTTCCAGGTCAGTGACTCAGAAAAATGGCAGGCAATACATTTTTTGGAAGGTCTGCAGTGGCAGCCTTTGTCTCGGTAAAGGTTTATTTTATGGGTAGGATACTCTCACTATTAAACATACGTTGTAAACAGAAATGTCAGCTGTAACATTTTCCTGTACCCTACTGAGAACAGAGGTCAGGGAAGGGAGGAAGAAGAAGCACACAAGGAGTCAACCAGGTGTACTGCAGTGCAAGGAGTATGCTGAGAGGAGGAGAGAGCAGAGTGACAGATAAATGAGCTCATCACTGTGCTGCTTCTCCTTTCACTGTCTAGTCAAGGGGTGCAGTGAGCAGGATACCTGCATGTAAAAAGTTAAACTGCAGCAGAGAACAGTCAAATCACCTTCCCTAGACAGGGCTGTGCTGTGGGACAGAGCTTTGTAAATCTCAGAATTGGATAGAGATATACAAATCCTTTCGCAGGTATCATGAGCTCTCATATACAGTCAGGTCCATAAATATTGGGACATCGACACAATTCTAACATTTTTGTCTCTATACACCACCACAATGGATTTGAAATGAAACAAGCAAGATGTTCTTTAACTGCAGACTGTCAGCTTTAATTTGAGGGTATTTACATCCAAATCAGGTGAACGGTGTAGGAATTACAACAGTTTGCATATGTGCCTCCCACTTGTTAAGGGACCAAAAGTAATGGGACAATTGGCTTCTCAGCTGTTCCATGGCCAGGTGTGTGTTATTCCCTCATTATCCCAATTACAATGAGCAGATAAAAGGTCCAGAGTTCATTTCAAGTGTGCTATTTGCATTTGGAATCTGTTGCTGTCAACTCTCAAGATGAGATCCAAAAGCTGTCACTATCAGTGAAGCAAGCCATCATTAGGCTGAAAAAACAAAACAAACCCATCAGAGAGATAGCAAAAACATTAGGTGTGGCCAAAACAACTGTTTGGAACATTCTTAAAAAGAAGGAGCGCACCGGTGAGCTCAACAACACCAAAAGACCCGGAAGACCATGGAAAACAACTGTGGTGGATGACCAAAGAATTATTTCCCTGGTGAAGAAAACACCCTTCACAACAGTTGGCCAGATCAAGAACACTCTCCAGGAGGTAGGTGTATGTGTGTCAAAGTCAACAATCAAGAGAAGACTTCACCAGAGTGAATACAGAGGGTTCACCACAAGATGGAAACCATTGGTGAGCCTCAAAAACAGGAAGGCCAGATTAGAGTTTGCCAAACGACATCTAAAAAAGTCTTCACAGTTCTGGAACAACATCCTATGGACAGATGAGACCAAGATCAACTTGTACCAGAGTGATGGGAAGAGAAGAGTATGGAGAAGGAAAGGAACTGCTCATGATCCTAAGCATACCACCTCATCAGTGAAGCATGGTGGTGGTAGTGTCATGGCGTGGGCATGTATGGCTGCCAATGGAACTGGTTCCCTTGTATTTATTGATGATGTGACTGCTGACAAAAGCAGCCGGATGAATTCTGAAGTGTTTCGGGCAATATTATCTGCTCATATTCAGCCAAATGCTTCACAACTCATTGGACGCCGCTTCACAGTGCAGATGGACAATGACCCAAAGCAAACTGCAAAAGCAACCAAAGAGTTTTTTAAGGGAAAGAAGTGGAATGTTCTGCAATGGCCAAGTCAGTCACCTGACCTGAATCCGATTGAGCATGCATTTCACTTGCTGAAGACAAAACTGAAGGGAAAATGCCCCAAGAACAAGCAGGAACTGAAGACAGTTGCAGTAGAGGCCTGGCAGAGCATCACCAGGGATGAAACCCAGCGTCTGGTGATGTCTATGCATTCCACACTTCAGGCTGTAATTGACTGCAAAGGATTTGCAACCAAGTATTAAAAAGTGAAAGTTTGATTTATGATTATTATTCTGCCCCATTACTTTTGGTCTCTTAACAAGTGGGAGGCACATGTGCAAACTGTTGTAATTCCTACACTGTTCACCTGATTTGAATGTAAATACCCTCAAATTAAAGCTGACAGTCTGCAGTTAAAGCACATCTTGTTTGTTTCATTTCAAATCCATTGTGGTGGTGTATAGAGCCAAAAAAATGTTAGAATTGTGTCGATGTCCCAATATTTATGGACCTGACTGTATGTTTTTCATCTGTGCATTTGTCTGTTTATCTGGAAATCAGCTTTAAAGTGATACTTCCAATTTTTTTCTTTAAAATAACCAACATGTTATATGTACCTGTTTTTTGTTTTTCTTGTTTGTTTTTTAACAAAAAAAAAAAAAAACAAAAACAAAACAAAAAAAAAAACAACCTCCCCCTCCACTCCCCCTCAAAAAAAACCTCCCCCAAAAAAAAAAACAGGCAGACTCGATGGACCACTTGGGCTTTTTCTGCCATCACTTTTCTATGTTTCAACCTGCTCTGTGCAATGTTTTAGCACAAATTCTCCACTCCTCAGGTCCCCCACCGGTGCTCCTGGCTCCTCCACCGAGTGCCCACCATAGGAAGCATTCATGCATACACATACTAGGGTCAATTTAGACAGGAGCCAATTCAATTACCAGCATGTCTTTGGAGTGTGGGAGGAAACCAGAGTACCTAGAGGAATCCCACACAGGCACAGGGAGAACATGGAAACTCCAGGCAGGTGGTGCGGAAGTTCCCATATGGAAGAAAATATATTTGAAATATATTTTAAAAATATTCTTCCCAAATATATTGACATATATTTGAAATACTACAATTTTATATATATATATGTTGTAATGCATTATTTATATGTTACAAAATATATGAAAACTATTTTTTTTAAATATATTTTTTAAATATATTCTTCATATTTTTTTTTAACATATAAAAAAGTCATTTTAACATATTTATTTTTTATTTATTTCAAGGTACTTATATAGGGCCGTCAATTTACACAGCACTTTACATATATATTGTACGTTCACATCAGTCCCTAACCCTCAAGGGGGTACAATCTAAGGTCCCTAACTCACATTTATACATACACATACTAGGGACAATTTAGACAGGATCCAATTAACCAACCAGTAAGTCTTTGGAGTGTGGGAGGAAACTGGAGTACAGGAGGAAACCCACACAGGCACAGGGAGAACATGCAAACTCCAGGCAGGTGGTGCCATGGTTGGGGTTGGAACCAATGACCCTAGTACTGTCAGGGGGACGTGCTCACCATTTAGCAATTGTGTCTCCCCAGTCATTAAGGAACTATAAATCCCAGCAGGCTGAAAAGTCTGTCTGGCCGGCCATAGCGGCTTGTTCTCACACTTGTTATACATGGTTGTGTGAAAGTAGAGCACACCCCAGAATTATGCAGCAACGCATATATGTGTTGGCTGGGTGTTAAAGCTTGTGACCCTACATATGCATATACTTTCACAAACTTTATAACCTCATACAGACATCTCAGAAGTAGGAATACAATGCCACAATGCCAGTGGCATTCACAATTAGTTACATCGTTTTTGGAGGGAATTAACAAAGAGTTGTCCAAGCACAATGCTTGCATTACTCTTCTAAACATAAAATCAATTCTCTATTATGTGTCCACGACAGATACAGCACGCAGTACAGAGGACGCAAAGCCGGAGCTGCATGCTCTGTTCTCTCTGGCCATACCTACTCAACTCAAAGTGGGAGGGAGGAGGAGGGTTGTTAGGCCTGCCGGTTCTGCTCATGTAGTGTGATCACTACACAGGCAGATAGGATGGATCCCATACATCCTGTATGTCAAGATCACACCTGGTTGGAATCTGCAGTATATGGAAAACGTCTGCAATCCCTCAGTTAATTAGGTGCAGACCCTGTGATGGTTTCTATTTCAATTCAAAAAAGAAACTGGTGCAGATGGTACAGATAGAATTGAAACAGGTCTATCTGCTTAGTTAACGTGGCACACGGCACTTCTGACATTATAATGGTGGTTGGAGTTTAGTCAATTCCCTGGTTTGTTCAGATAGGTTTAGTAAATTGTATACGTGACAGGTCCACTTGCAAAAATCCATCTTTATAAAAGACAGTTTGTCTGCCGGTTTGTACCTCCTTTTATATAGGCTTCTATGGGGGTGACTCCCAGCTTCTTGAAGTAGTCATCTGTGTCTGGGTCCACCACGAGTAACGTGGTCTCATTTTCCTTGGATTTGATGTTGGCCACCACTTCGGAATGCTTCATGTTTTCCACATTCTGTCCATTCACCTGGATGGGGAAGATCAGCAGTCAGACATTCAGCACAACAATAGTTTATATGTTACGTAAAGTTCTAGATCAGTGGTCTCCAAACTGCGGCCCCTTTGCTTACCTTTATTTGGCCCTTGGGGCACTTTTCCTTCCACTGATACAAGACACTATTCCTCTCACTGACACCAACAATAGGGCATAATTCCTGCTACTGACATTAACAATGGGGTACTATTCCTCCCATTGATGCCAACAATGGGGCACAATTCCTCCCACTGACACCAAAGATGGGACACTATTCTTCCCCCAAATACCAAAGATGCATTGTTTAGTCCCACTGACACCAGGGCATTTTCTACTCCCAATGACCACAGTTTGGCCCCCCTAAGGTCTGAAGGACAGTAAACTGGAACCTTTTTAGAAAGTTTGGAGACCCCTGTTCTAGAATATGAAATATGAAGGGCTTGAATACAGCTATCAGCCATCCTTATTCAGCAGAGTACTTGTATTTAATGTGCAGTGGCTATTAGGAAGAACAATAGATGTCCTCATCAACAAAGAGATGGAAGAAGTAGAGGGGGCCGGCTTAGGCTTGACTTTCCAAGCTCAAGTCAGTATTTACATAAACAAACACCCTGTGTTTTTACTCTGGGGTATCCATGTGCTCAGAGGTTTGAGCATACACAACCCTATGTGTATATTAGTGTAGTCGTACCCACCTCTCAGCAATTCTATGGGTTAGCTCTTTTCCATGGAATTTTCTTGTATCTCTTTTATGAGGCAGGTCCTCAGGATGTTCCCCACTCCCCTTCCCTTCATCATGCATGGACTTGGGACCAGCTTGCATGAATGTGATACCACATGTGCACAGCCAATTTGTACACACATATCAGGGCCAAATGGCCTACCAGCAGGGCCATGGATAAGAGGGTACCACCAGTCCTCCTATACAGGGCCCAGACCAGCAGGAGGGCCCAGGCAGCAGGTTCATTCAGATGTTGGTAGGGAGGGTGATTGCCTCAGTGGGGGTCGGGGAGTGGGGGTTGGGTTGAATTACTGGTACTGATCCCCTAGAAAGCTAAAAGCTGGCTTCTTCTCCTCTGCCTCCTGCCGGCTTTCCCCTGCTGCAGAGAGAGTCATACAGGGAATCAGTTCCAGTAATTGCCCCCCACCGAACCAATTACCCTCCCTGTGCACCATACATTTCCCCCTCCTGCCCAGGCCCCCCTGTGTGTCACCAATCCCACGCCCACAGCGCTGCCACCCTCCCTCCTCTCCTTCCTGCTGCCAGCTGCAAGCACACAATAGATAAATAAATGTCATATTTACCAGCCCCTTCCTTCCCTGAACACAGTGAGTGATCGGTACCGATCACGCACTGTGTTCATTCATAACTGAAGTATAGTAAAGTGTATTTATTTGGAAAGGGGGGGGGGGGGGGGGCTCTCAGATTGGCTGTATGGGGCCCCATATTTCTAATAGCAGCCCTGCCTACCAGCATGTCTCTGAAGTGTGGGAGAAGTAATTGCCCCCCATCTAACCAATTACCCTCCCTGTGCACCATACAATTCCCCCTCCTGCCCAGGCCCCCCTGTGTGCCACCAATCCCCACGCCCACAGTGTTGCCACCCTCCCTCCTCTCCTTCCTGCTACCAGCACACAATAGATAAATAAATGTCATATTTACCAGCCCCTTCCTTCCCTGAATGAACACAATGAGTGATCGGTACCAATCACGCACTATGTTAATTCATAACTGAAGTATAGTAAAGTGTATTTATTTATGAAAAGGGGGGCTCTCAGATTAGCTGTATGGGGCCCCATATTTCTAACAGCAGCCCTGCCTACCAGCATGTCTCTGAAGTATGGGAGGAAACCAGAGTACTCAGAGGGAGTTCACACAAACAGAAGGAAACATGCAAACCCCATGCAGATAGTGTCCTAGCCAATATTCAAACCAAAGTCCCCATTGCTGCAAGGTAGAAATGCTAACCACTAAGCCACTGAGCCACCTGGACACAATTTTTTTCCCACATGTAGGCTGACTTCACATTTGTGTATTGCAGAAACGTGTCGAGGCTGCTGCTGTTCACATGCAACAGCTCATCTGAGCAGTTATATGCAAATCTAACCTCCTACCAATCCTGGATGCAGACAGCATGCACCCAGGGACACCTTTTCCGGCCACACACAAAACTGGGGGCAGCTAATCAGCCATTTTTTATGTGGCCATAGCACATGGTGCAGCTGCATCCAGAGGTGGCGTCTAGCGTTTTCGAGTTGTCCCCAGAAAAGAGATGAGGGGGAATCCTACAATGGGGACACCTGTATGTGGCCATAGCACATGGTGCAGCTGCATCCAGAGGTGGCGTCTTGCTAGTTGTCGTTTTCGAGTTGTCCCCAGAAGAAGAGATGAGGCGGAATCCTCCAATGGGGACACCTGTATGTGGCCATAGCACATGGTGCAGCTGCATCCAGAGGTGGCGTCTAGCGTTTTCGAGTTGTCCCCAGAACAAGAGATGAGGCGGAATCCTCCAATGGGGACACCTGTTCCACTGAAGACTAAGAGAGGTGGCTTCTAATTCCCCTCACTTTGGGAGACTTCCTCTATTTTTACACTGTTGTTGTCTCTGGAACAGGAAGTGAAGAGAAATTTTCGAGTCTAGAACAAAGGAGGCGGAATCCTCCTGAGGCTGTGACAAAGGCACTGACTTTTCTACTGTATAAAAAAAAAAAAAATAAAGGCACAAAGGATTGCACTACAGTATAAATAATGAAAATTAAAATGTAAATAATAATAATAATAATGATTATAACATTTTGATTGTCATTACTGTAGGATGCAGGATCTTTTTTCACCACAACAGAGTCTGGCAATGCATGCTGGGGCTTGTAGTTCCACCGCTTGTCTCTAAACGATAACAACCACAAATAAATTATGTCTCCCCAGTCATTAAGGAACTACAAATCCCAGCAGGCTGAAAAGTCTGTCTGGCCGGCCATAGCGGCTTGTTCTCACACTTGTTATACATGGTTGTGTGAAAGTAGGCCATTTTCTGACAGTCACCAAGTGTGAGAACGAGCCACCGCGATTGTGTAGCCTCACAAAGGAGCTGCCTCCAGGGCGTATTGTCTGTGGTCGGCGGTGGCGGCGGTGCAGGGGTTAAGCGGCCCTCTCCTATTGAAATGGTCTCTTTTCTCGGCTCCCTGCACTCTGCCCTGTGCTCTGGCAATGAAAACAAACACCAATGCCTCTTTCCCCGGTTCCCTAGCAACCGCTTCCTACTTTCTCTGCACAGAAATAATCACTTTGCTCTGTTGTTGGGCCGCACAGCGCTCGCCCCTCCTCCTTCCCCACTGTTACCCCCTCATTTTATTCCTCCCACCCCCCCTACACTAAACTTTTCTCTGCCATCACCTCAGGCTCTTCCCAGGACCCAGCTTTTCCCCAAAACCAACTTCAATCTTTACAAAGCTCCTTCATAGTACAGGGTTCTCAGCTACAGACAGATGGACTGGTTGCTATGGGCAACACTAACACTTCTATTAAAGGGTTAGTTCACCTGTAGCAAAAAAACTATTAGGGGCGTCTGTAGATAGAAACACACTGTGCGGCTCTGACCAAACTGAATATTGCCCTTGCGATAGGTGTAGGCCATTTACATCCCTCATGAAGCCTGACTGGAATGTTTGGTAGGACGTTGCTAAGTGAGGCCTAGTTTCTACTGCTCACCTCCACCATCACAGGAGTGAGCTTTCTCTCCAATTCAGATCCCATCACATGCGCTTTCTCTTTTCCCCCCCTATTGCACTAACTCCGAGCTCAGTATTTGACAGCGTGCTCCTGTGATGGTGAAGATGAAAAAGAACAGCTGGGCAGTTCTTAGCAACATCCTTAGCAACGTCCTAGGAGTTTTTCAGTCAGGCACATAAATGGCCTACACCTATAGCAAGGGTATTACTAAACTGTGGTCAATGCTGCACAATTTGTTTTATCTACAGACACCTCTAATCTCTACAGACAAGATGGACTGGTTGCTATGGGCAACACTAACACTTCTATTAAAGGGTTAGTTCACCTGTAGCAAAAAAACTATTAGGGGCGTCTGTAGATAGAAACACACTGTGCGGCTCTGACCAAACTGAATATTGCCCTTGCGATAGGTGTAGGCCATTTACATCCCTCATGAAGCCTGACTGGAATGTTGGTAGGACGTTGCTAAGTGAGGCCTAGTTTCTACTGCTCACCTCCACCATCACAGGAGTGAGCTTTCTCTCCAATTCAGATCCCATCACATGCGCTTTATCTTTTCTCTCCCCTATTGCACTAACTCTGAGCTCAGCATTTGACAGTGTGCTCCTGTGATGGTGAAGATGAAAAAGAACAGCTGGGCAGTTCTTAGCAACATCCTTAGCAACGTCCTAGGAGTTTTTCAGTCAGGCACGTAAATGGCCTACACCTATAGCAAGGGTATTACTCAACTGTGGTCAATGCTGCACAGCTTGTTTTATCTACAGACACCTCTAATCTGCATAGGCAGTTTTTGGTAAAAGTTCACTCTATACAACCATGTGCATGTGAGTTCATCGCACTCCATTAAGGGCTTGTTAGCACAGGCAGCCAGGGGGCAGTAAAAATAGGCAGTTGAGGCATGGTTTTAATGTACCCCGACTGCCTATCTAACCACAGAAATGCAGCTGCTCAGAGCTGTAAACGTGCTCGTTCTTCTATGTTTCCAGGAAGTGGCTGCAAAGAGCCTGCAAGAGATCAGCATAACTAGGATGTGAAAAATGAAGTTAAAGCAAAACTTGCCGATTTTTTATCTGATTTAGCAAACTAAATGTCATCCATTTACATACACTATATTGCCAAACGTATTGGTCCAGCCCTCCAATCACTGGACTCAAGTGTTTAAATTACCTCCATGGACACAGGTGTATACAATCAAGCACCTCGGCATGCAGACGGCTTCTACAAACATTGGTGAAAGAATGGGTCGCTCTCAGGAGCTCAGTGA